GCGGAGGGGAGTGGCGGGGCGGGAACTCGCCTATTACCGTAGTAACGCGAGCGTTACGTTACCGCCACGTACCGCTGGGGAGGTAGGGGTCAACATGCCACAATATGATATCCTATCACTAATGAACTCTGCCCTCTTTAATTGCTAATACAATTCTCTTATGTACGAAAAACCTGTACCTAATTCATGATTTTCATTCCCTCTCCATAGAAAAATGTATAGTCTCCTGCTGGTGCGATGCCACCTCCATCCCATCTGACTTCCTGTACTCCCGCCAAATCTAACTTATATTTTAAGATTTCTTCTGCCACTCCTCTGAGTGAACCTGTCCTATACAAACTTCATACATTCCAAACTTCAATAATCTTCAGATAACTGCTTTTGCTTTGCGCAGTAGTTCACAAACTACCTGAGTCATCATAATGGTTGGATATGCTGGCACAAACTAACCTGACTCACTCTCCCTCTTTTCTGTCCATATTGCATCTTCCTCTATTTCTGTACTGTGTCACCATCTGATGTCAGAAGAAATATGTATCACACTTACTCCAAATGGAAGACAGGGCTCTTTTTCTTTCCCGTTTTATGAGTCAACAGAGCTATGGATTGACATATATCTAAATACTAAATACATGTATATATTAGATGTTTTAAATTACTTTTAAGCTTTAACTGTGTTCATGCCAAAGTCTGCACTACAAGTATATTATGCTATGAGAAGAAGCAAAAGACAGAAATATCTCTCAAGGTCAAAAGCCACAAGCTACCACATAGTTGCATGAAGTACCATTAACATGTATTCACAAATACATGATGCCTCAAGATGGTGCAATAATGAAATTGGGATTCTTTGGCATAACCTAAGCAATGGAAAAGCACACAAGATTCGTAACTTTTAAGTATCTGAGGTCTTTATAGGTCAGATTCAATGAAACCAGTAACAAGAAAATAACTGTCAAAAATAGAATTCATATATAGTGGGAGTATAAGGGTCAGGTGGGACAATGGTGGCATTCTCTCAACGATACAACAATGAACATTTAGGTTCCATAAAAGGCAAAGAATTTATCTATCAGCTGAAGAACCATCAGCTTCTCAAACAGACCTGCACCATGGAATATATGAGTTCTAAGTTCAAGGTTCCAGGACTCATGTGTTCAAACAAAATAAACTAATATTTAGTCTACTGAAGTGGTAATTTTAAACTGTGAAGTATAAATATGACAAAAATTATATTACCTTGACATATGCACGTAACACTGCATCTCCTATGTGATCTTTCTCTGCTCGTCCAATGAGACGAAGGAAGAGAACAAGATGTGACAAGAAACGAAGTGACTGTGGTTTCTGTTCTGTATTAAGTTTGATCCACTGTTCCATTTCATCCATTAATGCCCCCACTTGATCCATAATCAGGTACTGCTGAACTTTATGTGCCATTTTTAGTGCATCATTACGGATACGGGTGTCCTTACTGGCTGCCATCTCGGAAAAAACTTCTTCTATGTCCATTCTGCAAATTAAATTTACAAATTTATTGATTCAGTACAGAGTGTGTCTATTCGTTGAAAACAAATACAGTTATTCATAGAGAATGTACCATATACATGTGCATGTATGCCCACATACAATTAACACAGTGCCACATCAGGGAAATGCTGCTTAAACGGAGATGAGTTTTGGTTTTGAACATTTTGTGCTTTAGAAAGAAATCTACTTTGATATAATACATACATATGCACGTGTAAACACAAACAAACTCATGTCCATGCACTCCCTCACCTCAAAGACACAATCACTGACACATTTTGTACAATCAGCACTAGTAAGTGAATGTAACGTGACAGTGTGAAAAAGCCACACCAAAGTTGCAACAATGAGGCTGAAAACTAATGTGTTGGGTGTATGTTACATGACAAATAACTTCACACCGTACTGGATATAGCGAATTTATTGCACTCACTCTTACATTTATACAATTCACAGTTTCCCAATGACTGCTATCTGCAGTATCATACTTACTTCTGCCATTCACTCGACAACAATGGACTCGGCGACTGCTAGATTGAAACTGGCTGGTTACTCTCTCTCTAGTAACTCACTCATTGACCAGTGTTCGCTGCTCCTTATTTAGGCTCGGCACGGACAACACCGAAAACAGTTACGTGATATGTACCACTGTTGCGTAACGTCGTGTTTATCAATTGCCTAGCAACAGTTATTGCACGGGCTGCCCTGTTGCGTGACGCCGTGTTTAGAAGGGCGTTGCTGGGCAACTCTGCCGAGAGTTGTTTACTGCTGTGTAGCAACCGCGGTGTCCCGTTACGTCACCGCGGGGAGGGGGTGTTTAATGAGCGTTGCGCAGTCCATATCACACTGCTCCCTTCTAAAGGTTGTTCATCCTGAACAGCCTAATGGTACATTCCTGTTCCTTTCCTTTGAAGGCTGTTCTTGCAACGTCTTCTTTTTGTCTGGCTACTCCTCTTGCAATGACTATTCTCCAGCCATTACATCTGCTCCCTTCTTAGGATTGTTCATCCCAAATAATTCCATGGTACAGTGTTCATCGATCCATTGTATCACATTCACGCCTCACTTTCATCCATCGCACATTCACTCTCACTGGGGAGGCCGGCTCCTCCTCGACCCATTGTTTCTTTTTCCACTTTGGAGGGGGCCTACTCCTCCACAAGGTCCATTTCCTCATTTCCGGTAACCCACTGGAAGTTACGACTACATGTTCCATGATCTTCTTACTGAAAATCTCACATATGTCCTTTTTGCATATTACTCCAATTCCCTGAGGTGCTCGCTTTCCTTGGCTCTACCCCTCGATGCCGTTTGTGGTTGACCTCTACTTCCTCCCATGTAGCAGCCACTTGCCGCGTCGATCCTTTGTTCCTTTATGGTGTGGCCCTACTCTCTGGGTTGCTCACTGTCATGGCCCAGGTGCCGTTTCTTCCAACGATGTTTTCCTTCTGTCATGCCACTTCCACACAGCGGGTTGTTCTCTTGCTGTGGGGTCCACACTTTTTCTGAGTGGTGTTCCTGCGGATGTCTTCCTTGAGTCACGCCACTGTTGCACAACGGGACATCCTTGTGTCATTTCTCTTCTTCTTTTGTGGTGCTACTGTTGCACAGTGGAACGTCCCTCTGCGGGCAACCGCCAGTCCTCTTCTTCGGCACCCATCCTGATACTGGGCCCTTTTGTTCATCTGGTGGCGATGCTCCGCGGCCAGTTTTCGGTCCCTATGCCTCTTCTTCTTCGGTTCTCCGACCGGCATTACTTCAGCGTCTTCTACAGGGACCTCTCGTTGTTGGGCCACCTCAGGTTTCCTGTCCACTGAGGTTTGCTCTTCTTCTTCTTCTAGACGTTCCTCCATCTCTTTGCAGGCCATCGTCTCTGTTTTGAGTTTGGTTTTGCCCACCATCTCCTTGTGGCTCGTGTCCATCATTTCTTTCAGTTTTCAATTGGCCTGCCTATCAGCCTCCAATCTGGAGGGAAACTGAGCTTGGTACGCATTCATCTTATTCAGTAGGAGTTCCAACATCTGCTGTGAGTTCATTTTGTGGCAGTATTAATAGTCGATGCACTCACAGAATCGATTATTCGTCGAGGAATGTTCAAGTTCGTAAAGCACTTCTGACACCAAATTGTCACGTGTTGAGTAGGTCACACGACAATAATATTAATTAGTTTGATTTATTTCATTCTGGTCCGTCACAATAACAATTACAATTATAAATCACTCCGTCCAATGTGACCTGTAAGTTTTTTACTACATAAAAACTTAACACCCTTACATGTTTCGGTCTCTGTGGACCATCTTCAGAGGGCAAACATCACTACAAATAGGAAACCACCATCACATAATTTGTTTACACGTAAAGTACATACACTTATATGCTACAATACATAGTACACAGAATAGAACATTTCACAAACACAGCAGTTTCCTGGGAATGTAAAGTTTTTTAAAAAATTGTATAAAATTCCTTGATGCTAATTAAAAGTTTTTTAGATTGTCAATAATTAAAATTCGTAAACCATGCAGGCTCATGTTCGTCCTCCCATCGTCCCCATATAAGAGAGATGATGGGAGGACGAACACGAGCCTGCATGGTTTACGAATTTTAATTACTGACAATCTAAAAAACTTTTAATTAGCATCAAGGAATTTTATACAATTTTTTAAAAAACTTTACATTCCCAGGAAACTGCTGTGTTTGTGAAATGTTCTATTCTGTGTACTATGTATTGTAGCATATAAGTGTACGTACTTTACATTTAAACAAATTATGTGATGGTGGTTTCCTATTTGTAGTGATGTTTGCCCTCTGAAGATGGTCCACAGAGACCGAAACATGTAAGGGTGTTAAGTTTTTATGTAGTAAAAAACTTACAGGTCACATTGGACGGAGTGATTTATAACTGTAATATTAATTAATCCATACAAAAAATGCTCAAATATAATATTATACTTCCAGATGATCCAAGAACACGTCTCCTTCTCTCGTCAGTCCTTTCATAAAATCAGCTCTCTTAGATTGCTTATTTCATCAGATACTGGTATTTAAAAATATGTGTACACTAAAGGCAATGATATTAGCCTTTTATCTTTGTTCGTTTAATTTTTCTGTGCAGTGCTACCTGGTTTTCATAAATGTAATTTGGTGCAATACAGCTTAAAGAATGAATCATCACACAACCCCACACTGCATTCTGAGCATCTGATTTTTAACAATGATGGATTTTTATGTAGATCACATTTCTTGGAGTGATGACAGAGGTGTTCACATTATTGGAAATGTGTTATTAAACTGACAGGACGCATTATACAATGATACTGATGAAATCTGAAAGAATTATGAAAAAGCAGGAGGTCTGACAGCATCTCAAGAATAAATTAAAATATTAGCCATTCGAGAGAAGAACTCAGGCACCTTAAAAACTGAAAATACCTACTTTTATAATACTGGTAACATGTCTCCTGGTCCAAATAATGAGAAAGAGACAGGGTTATGCAGTTATAATGCTGCAAAACATGATTAAATGCTTACTCATTCTGCCAGTAAACATCTGGTAGATCAACATAATGGCGAATGGATGATTCCCGTATCTCCTTCTCAACCCTGATGTCAACTAAAACACGAAAGTGTGCCCACAGAAGGTCCTCCCATGACTGACAGACATCAACCAAGGCTGAGAGATGGCCACATAATGCAGCAAATGTTGCCCGTGTGTAAACTGGCATACGCTTATCCTCTGCCATTCGCCAAGCCATCAGTTTCCATATGTCCCTGAAAATTAAAACGGTAGTAATATTTACATTACTTTGGATACAAAGTTCTCAGAATTCTCAGAGCTCTGTATGCTGCCTGCTTCCTCCTGGTTCACTCTTTTTTATCCCAAAGATGCAGACAGTACAGCCACTGGAAGCATCAGCGAACTTCTACTACACCACATGGCATCACTTCCAACAAAGTACTTTTAACACATACATTCCTTTATTTATCTCTAAATTTCATTTTTGTCTTGTACAATCAGATCCGTGAAACTGAAAGACTGAACGGAAAGTGTTGGTGGCCTGCTTCTGTTAATATCACATAATTTTCCTGGAGGCCCTGAATAAGAGCAAAAAAACTTGGTCAAGATAGTGTCCTGGCTGGGATTTGAATCAGGCACCTCCCAAATACAAGTCAGAAGCAACAATGTTCTAGCCAACTTGCTTGATCTGACATATTTTCTTTGTTCATCTGTTGCAATAACAGCTGAACATAGTATATCTTGTATCTTTACTTTCATTTCCATAGATCCTTAGTGGCTACCAAAACCATCGGACATAGAACATGTCACAATTTACATATACAGGAAGATCGAGAAGTCGCACACATCACACTAAGCAATTATATTTTGCTGGTTTAATGCACAAACTACAAGACATACAGCACTTACTATTAATGTTTATAAACTTACATCTTAGAAATGCAAAATCAAATCATGTCTTTACAACATACAGGGTGATTCATGAAGTTTTACCCCAGCTTATGGTACATATTCCTGGGGTAATTTCCTTATAAACTTTTGATCGATTTTCAATAGTTATGGAGTAACAATAGATTTTCGAAACACATCATTGTGAATGCAGCGCTGTGCTTCAGCGTGGGTGACCATACGTTCCAGTCAGCTACGTCAGCAGATAAGGTAGACCGGTTTGAATGTTGCGTGTAGGTAGATAGGCAGAGTGGTTCATACGTGTGCGACACATTGTGTTGACGTGCAGGGAGACATTTTTGAAAATCTTATGTAAATCCAGTCATCTTCTAAAGCACTACAGTTCAAAGGAAACAGACTGATAGAAGGGTGTGATATGCAACCATTGGTATGTTTACAGAATCGGATGCTGAAAATAATGTAATTTTGTAACACAAAATCGATGAAAAATGTTGCACAATGCAAAATTAAGAAACTGAAAAGAAAAATCTTCTTTCCTAAAACATTAACGATTTAAAAAGTGTTTGTATTGTATTTATAATTTGTTTTGACTGAAATTCGAAGAAAAAAAGATTTTTCGCCAGTTTTCAAATTACTGTATCTCTTTAATTATGAGTTGGATACCATTAGTATTGTGACATGTTGACCCCTACCTCCCCAGCGGTGCGTGGCGGT